CAATCAATCAAGGCACTACAGGTTGCCTTTCCGATTTGAATGCGGATATAGAGCAAAGGTGCGTCAGTTTCGGCGTACCTTTGGGTGGCGTGCTCACGGTCGATCTTCGCAAGATAGGAGCAGGGATCGGCAACCGCTACCCCGTCGTCCGTCAACGGAGCTGGTACTGTAGTGTGCAAGTAGAAGCGTAGATTTGTCATCAAGGCGTTGCAATGCGGCCTTGGCAATGTTCCGGTCGAGGGTAGAGGTATCCAAGCGAAATCCTCTCTCGTGAGCGGGTCAAGCTCCTCAAGTCTTGACCACGCTGTTGAGTCCTCGGAAATCAGTGGCGAACTGACCGGATCACTTGCCGACGGTGTACAGGCTGCGCATACGCAATCTACATGCAGGTGGCTAGACTGGTCTAATGGTGGTACCAACTGGGCGGCATAATCCTCGTACGTAGCACGAGAATCAGCGACTAACGCATGCTCCCCGGTAGTGACATCAATTGCTAGCAAGGCAACCGGATCCGGCGGAGTGAGGAGAGACGTCGCCCCTCTCCTTGCGTAACTCAGTTTCCCGAGTTTGCTGGACGGGGTACGCGTGCCTTGCCCTTTTCGGGGCATTGTGCGGTCACATGAGTGACTCCGTTGCACCAAAGGCAGTATCCGTACTTCTGACGCAGGTCATAGACCTCCTTGGTKATCTTATATGCCGTCCATGGCTGCTGCCCAGCTCCCGTCGCTGCCGTCTCTTGTGTCGCCTTGTTCTTACGAACTCTCTTGGGACGCTTCGGCGGGAGCGCTGCGACAATTCCTCCATCACCCGAGGATGCTGCTGCAGCGTGATGGTCGTCGGTTTCCTCAGAAATCACGGCATTGTGATGTGTCGGACGTTGATAAGCCTGCTTAGCCACATAATGCGRCTGGGATTGTCTCTCGTTAGCGGCCTTGTCGTCCGTTTGGATGACCAAGTTCGCTCGATCCAGAATGGCCTGGAATGTGGTATAGTCGTACTCRTTACCGAGTGCCGACCGYAATCCYGCGCATGATCGCGAGAAGAACTCGGATYGTTGATTKGGAAACGTYAAGTCGAARCCTGGTGTGGTCACTATCTTTTGCCACTTCGTTGTCCAGTCTCGAGTTGGCATGTTCCCCTRAGAGCATGTGTACACCTCATTCATGGCCGCCTTCACGACGTTGCGGACCATGAACCGGGTGAACCATAGCTGCTCGAACTCCTTCCACGTGATGTGCGTGTGGAGTTCGGCGATGGTGCACTTGTGGGTAGCCGCCAGGTGGTTCATCCATGCCTGCGCTTCTCCAATCAGTTGCAAATAGAGTGCCTTCAACATGTCGTTCGCCGGGACAGTGCGGCATGACGCTTCCGTGAGGAAACGTTGCCACCATGTCAAAGCGTCCGACTTGTTGTAGTCGTCGAACTTGCAGATGTCGAAGTGCGGCATCTTGAACGTCTTTGTAGCGGCGTCCGGTTTCGTCTGTAGCTTGGTGATGTCCGTCTTGATGGCGGCCACCATGCTGCTGATCATGTCCGGTCCGTTGAAAACACCTATGTTGCCGATGATGGTGACGACGTGATCGATGCGTTCGTTGATTTGCTTCGTCGCGTCCGATGTGCAGCCTGGCGCTGCTGAGGCCTTGGCCTCAATGCCGTTGATGCGTGCGATGGTAGAGTTCATCAGCTGTTGCTGTTGCTGCTGCTGCATTGCTGCGTCGCGGACGCCGGCCGTTACAGCGGCCA